GAAAGCGCTAATCTCTACCATGTGACATATGGAGCGTAAACCATCAAAATTCTAGTTCTGCAATGAGTTTACCTTAAAATAAACAAAGAGAGAGATTTGTTGAGGCCAACTTGATGTCCTCCTTCAAATGTTTCTGCATGAACTCTTCCAGACAGGTTTTCACAACTTTTAAAACAAATGAGCCTTAAATTAACGTCGTTATTAGGACTTTGTGTGAATTAAAACTTTTCCCTCTTTGATATATCCGCTTGATCTTTTACCCAGAAAATAGATGTATTAGGGAAAAAGGCGAAGCAAACAGCTCAGAGAGGTGCAGAGAAAATGAAAAGAACAAGTGGGAAAACGTTCAAAGGCAATATTCCTGTTTTAATGAACAGATTCCTCCCTGCGGGTAACGGAGGGGTCACTTGTCACCACTGACCTGCCAGTCTGAAAGTTACTGCATGCAATGGGCTCCACAGTGAGCAGCTTGAAACTCCCAGCCAGGAATGAAACGGTTTTGTTTACACTGGGGAAAAAAAACAAAAACAAAATAAAAACACTTTCTGCAGTAGTTAAGCTGAGCCCAGTAGTATTGCTAACGCAACACTCATGATATAATATTTATATTCTGAACTTGCACAGCTCCCCTTACTCTACATACTTTGAAAACTTCAGATCCAATAATGCTACATGTTCACTGTTGTAATTAAGACGCTTCAAGCACGAACCTTCCTAACAAGTTATTACCATGATGTAATGAAACTTTCTGACTTCGATGCCAGTTTTGCAAAAGTTCAGACTCAGTTCAGCCTCCATCCACATGAGGTTGTTTGTAGTAACATGATTTAGGGATTTTATTTCCCCCTTTGTTTTTTGGCAGCTTTGCTTCTGGAGGCATTACTGTTCCAGTAGTGACATTTGTCAGATTGGGAAATTTGTAACTTGATTTGAAAGCTTAAATACTCCCTAATTTTTCTCCTTAAATATTTAACATTTTTGCATTAAATGTGATCAAGAACGTAACTTATAAAAAGTTGTACAAGTGTTTTCTGTACATTTCAGGTTTTCTCAGTAATTTATATGAACATTTGATATTAGCAGTTGACAGGTTTGAGAGTTTTTCATTACAGTGTCTTTGATTATGCCACCTAAACAGAAATAAAGACTCTTTTATTGCAACAAAAATAACAAGGGAACATGTAAATATTGGCAAGCTAATGAGTAATCCATCACATCTCCTCATACTGAGGCAGCGTCGCTAAAAAGTGTTGAGTAAAAATGTTTTGAAACAGATCTGACATTAATTCATCATAATGGCTTATGATGAACTAATCTGTGGCTCAAACGAAGTCCAACATGTACTAGCTATGCTTTATTATTAGCATTATTAAAAAATACAACAGGACTACAGTGAACTACAGTGAATAAATCAGTATTTATTAGTAATACAAGCAACTTTAAACCCCAAATAGTTAGCAACACCAACAAACATGATTTCACCCACATCTTACAGTTTATGCATAAAGGGACCTTTCTCATAATCAGCAGCGATGAATCAATCCAGCTTAAACATAATATCTCATTGCTCAATCCTCTTCAGCCAGATATTCCTCTCAGGGTAGCCGGTTGTAAATTCAGAGCTGTGATGGACACCGAGGGGCCCTGCATGTGAAAAAGTATCCAGGGAGGCAAGAGAACAGAGACCTCTACTCAGACCATCAACAGACCCTCCCAGCGTGATCCCACCATCTGGACTATTTTCAGTTGTGTCAGGCCGGCTCTCAAGACCCGTAGAGGGGCAGCATTCACAGAGCGCAAGAAGAATGTGCTTTTTCTGGGAGGCGATGCTGTAGATTTAAAGGAATGATGTCCTCCAGTTGTATATCTTGTCACTCTGTGTGCTGGAATTTGTCCCTTTTTTTCAGCCACTGTATTTTATTTTTAGTGTTAGGGTCAATCATGGGCTCTGCCTGCTTCTCAAAAAGTCCCCAAATCACTTCATTATAAATGGATTTTTATTTATTTATTTTTTGTTTTCATTTAGTTAGAAAAAATTATTTCACTTCCAACTTCAGACGTCTAGATAGAAATAAAATGCATTGGTTAATGTAAAGTTAGTGTGAAAACAGGGATGTTTTTCTTTTTCCCCCAAAGCTGGGTCAACACAGGTTTCTGTCTTTGGTACAGAGATCTTTGAATGATCTGTACTGTAGGACCTCAATAAATCTGGACAGAACCTTTTTGCTCTGTCATTCCTGCGCCTGCAGCAACAGCTCAAGCCTATTAGTTGTTAGGTTTCCATCGCAACTGTCTGAAAAGCTCTCAGAAGTGGATAAGGGAGGGTTCAAAGGGCAACAGTGGTTCATATGGCCGACATCCAACACATGTCCTGATAGTTCCTAAAAGAACCCATTTACAAGTCTATGAAAGCAACATGTGGGGTAATATTTTAAATAAATAAAACAAAGAGGGACTTTGTTTTTTTAGTCTAATAAACCTTCTTATTTTCAAGTGACAAAGATCATGTCATGGCTTGAGATGCAACATTTTAATCAAACTTGATTTATTAGACATTTAGTCTGCACAAACACCGATCTTACTCTGCTGGCAAAAAGTTTCAGTACAAAATATTTCTTTGAGTCTGTCCATTTGTATTTTTCTTGATTTCCTTTTTTTTGGCATTTATTAATCAGTAGCTTGATTAATAAATCAAGCTACTGATTAATCAGGTGTAACGAAAGGCCAGGTTGCTTTGGGTCTGGGGTCTCTCATCTTCCTCTCAACAATATCTTATGGACTTTCTATGGGGTTCAGGTCAGGACAGTTTGCTGAGCAATCAAGCACAGTGGCACCATGGCTGATTTTCCTGCTGGAAAATGAAACCAGCATCAATCAGCAGAAGAGAGCATGAGATGCTCTAAAGCTTCCTGGTAGATGGCTACTTTTACTGTGCACTGTGGACTGTTATTGTTTTTTTTTTTTTTTAGTTTTTGAGGACCTTCAGTGCCAGAGAAAGTGAGATAAAAATGGGACTTATTCTGGCTATTATATATATATTTTTTTTGTCTGAGTCTGACATGACTCTTGCTCATATTTCACCCGAAAAATGGCCAAAACATCAACAGTGCAGTTTGTGCTGTGAGATAATAGGTCAGGAATGCACCAGATCTTTTAGCATAGTTTTAAAAACACAGACCTCTCGGGACAATGAGAAAAATTTCCTCTGAGATAATAAGATGTATTTTTTCTAGCACAATAAATGCTGGAACAATGCTCAAATCTTCTTAATGCAGATGTTAATCACAACCAAACAGCGAATATTTCGCACTATATTTCCCATTCACTTGAGCTCTGTTCCTTATTCTACCAGAACTTTAAATAACGAGCTCCTTTCTCAGCTTTTCATGTGTCTTGCACATTAATCTTTCACACTGGCATTGTCTTAGACTTTTCCATAAATTTTAAAGCCACTTTTAATCACATCTCAAGGGTCCAGAAGTTTTCCTCGTCGAGAAACTGAACACTTCTCTCATACACACAGCATGCAGATTCTTTTAGTGATGTTGCAGCATTCTTGAGTAACTTTCAAGAGCAAATTCTCTCCTTGTTGAATAATTCTTCCTTCAGGATGAAATTGTATTGGAAACTGAGGCAAATCCAAAGCATTCCTTTGTTAGGCCACCTTCAAAGAAAAGTTGTTTGACTGACAGGATCTCATGCATAAATTCAGACATATTGGAGGCAAAAAGAGCATTTACGTTAAGGTCCACAATTTCCAAACCAGTTAGGCAGCGCCACCTAGCGATGTTTACAAAAATAATGTACAAAATCGAACTGGTCATGGTGGGATGCTAATGAGGCTTATTTGACCAATTGGCAGTGCTGGCGTTTCTCATTGGTTAAATTTGAGCTGCCAATCAAACCTTCTCCACACTTCTTTTCTTGAGATCTCCGCAGTAGCGCTCAGGAGTGTGAGGGGAGCAGACCTCCTCACAGACAACCTTATGAACTTAGAAACATGAGTTTATAAGTGCATGACAAAACAATAAAAATAAAAGGTCGGACAAAATCTCAAGATTATGGAATATTTAATTGTATTGACTAAATACACTGCTCAAAAAAATAAAGGGAACACTCAAATAACACATCCTAGATCTGAATGAATGAAATATTCTCATTGAATACTTTGTTCTGTACAAAGTTGAATGTGCTGACAACAAAATCACACAAAGATCATCAATGGAAATCAAATTTATTAACCAATGGAGGCCTGGATTTGGAACCACACACAAAATTAAAGTGAAATGTTCCCTTTATTTTTTTTGAGCAGTACATATTGACTAAGAAATTTTCTGTAAGCAATATATATTTACAAACAAATTAAATTAAGTAAAATTATTCAGAGGTTATACATATGTGTGTGTGTGTGTTAAATAAATACATATATAAATTAAATTGAAGGAGTACACATTATTAATTAATTATATACTATAATATAATATTGTAATATAATATTATGAATCACAGTTTGTGTGTAACTTAATTTAATTCTTGATTCATTTGCTTCATATGTTTTGTTTAATATATATTTTGTTTTACCTCAGTTTTTATTCATTATTTACTGTATTTGGATATTTTGTGCATTATTTGACCTGGTCTTATTTTAGCCCACTTTAATTTCAAATAAACACCTGCGACCATCCATCCATCCATCCATCCATCCATCCATCCATCCATCCGTTTTCTGTACACCTTTGTCCCTGGTGGGGTCGGGAGGGGTGCTGGTGCCTTTCTCCAGCGAACGACAATCTTAAAAAAAAAGAACAAACAAAATTAAGTATTTATGTATAACATTGTACATAGACACATTTATGTCTATGTATGCATGTGTATGTACGTGTGGAGATCTATTGGTCAGAAAACTGCCCCTTGCGGTACCCAACTGACACCCCTGGGTGGCAGGGCAGTTCCGCTCCGGCGGACGGGGACGCACGAGCAGGAGAAGCGGACTGCTCTCCGATTGGTCGGCGGTGTGCGCGTCCCCGTCGTCTCCTCCCGGTTTCCCTGGCATGACCTTTTCCCTTGGCAACCACTTCCTCTGAGCATCAACGGCCATCTTTAATTGTAACTCATTCATGAAAAAGTTGTTGTCGAGCGCATAAAAAAGAGCAAGCCGACCCGTTTGCGCGCGAAGCGGCGTCGACGGCGCTGTTTGCGTGCAGCTCGCTGCGACTCGCACAAAGCAGAGGCAGAAGCAGAAGCAGAAGCAAGCCAAGCAGCACCGCGGAAGACAGTCCGCAGAGAATAAGTAAACACCGAGAGCGTACGTTCGTGTTCCTCATTGTGTTGGGTGGTCCGTCACACTGTCTCTGCTTCACTCATTCAGCCTGCTGTCTGAGAAACAGACTCATACATAAAGTATCGGCGTGAATATGTGGACGCTGACATGTTGTGTGTCGAAGTGAAGTAAGAGTACTGAAACAGCAGGTGGAGCGGCGGCGCGCTTAAATAATCTTTGTCAGAAGGACACCGCATACTGATCTCTGCCATGTTTTTATGCAAATATCGAAGGATCTGTTGCGTTGATTATATATATATATATATATATATATATATATATATATATATATATATATATATATATATATAAAATTAATTTCCTAAATTGTGCAGGATGAGAAAGAAGCAGACTGCCAAACAGAGGAAGACTGAGGAGACTACAGAAGTCCAAGAGTTTGTGGTGGAGAAAATAATTCGGCGGAGAATCTTTAATGGCAGAGTGGAGTACTTCCTGAAGTGGAAAGGCTTCACCGAGTGAGTGAGACCCTGCAGAACCTGTCAGTGAGTGTCTGTGTTTGTTCACATGATCGTGAAACACACACCCTCCTCCTGCGTGTCACCAACAGTGCAGAAAACACGTGGGAGCCTGAGGACAACTTGGACTGTCCCGGGCTCATTGAGGAGTTTCTGAGAGACGCCCATCTATCCAGGGAGGTTGAAGAGGAGCAAAGCGAGCAGGAGTTCATTCCCAAAGAAGAAATGGCAAAGCAGGAGACGGAAATCGTGAGTTAAAAGCGTGGCAGTCATCCTTTCCATGTTAAGTTCCTTAATGTGAGTAAGGAAAAAAAAAAACAAAAAAAAAACCAGCACTGCTTCAGTATTTTATATTTTAAGCACTGTTTAAATTTGAAGACAATTGAGGAAGAAGGATTTGATCAGCCGACCAGTCTGGCAGATATTGTTCCTGCTGCTGCAGAACTAAAACACGTGTGAAGGTGGTTGGTTTTGGAACAGACAGAAAGCGAAAGTGGGTCAGATTTTTTTTATAACTGGCTTGTGTACAAGAACAAAAAAGATATGATTTATAACATGAGTATTCCGGAAAATTATACAATTTTATGTAAAAATAATAAAAGAAATCCTAGTTTGAAATGAGAAAATAAGAGTATAGAAAGATCAGTCCCAAATGCCATTGTCCAAATGTCACCCATCCATCAATTTCGCAATCTATGTATCAATTTGTCCTCTGGGCTTAATGGCAGAGTGTACAAGGAAACTTATTTCACCCATTTCATTGGCAGACGGGTTCATCACTCATCGCTTTCTCTAACAAAGACATCTTTGTCTTCGTTATTCCCGCTGTAGTCCCATGTGACGCCTCAGGAGCAGAATAGCGGTGTCCTAAAGCCAGATGATGAGGAATCCGGCGCCCCCACTGACCTCAGCACTTACCTCGAACCTGAATGCATCATCGGCTCCACAGACCGAAAGGGAGAGCTCATGTTCTTAGTCAAATGGTAACTTCTCCGCTTCCTCTTTACAATGTCAAAAGTGTTTTTATTTTCTGACATTTTATAGTGCAGAACAGACTTTGAGGCTGGTGGGAAAATTACAAGCACATAGAAACGACATGAGGGAAATTATGATTTATTATTATTATTATTATTATTATTATTATTATTATTATTATTATTATTATTATTATTATTATTATTATTATTATTGTTTTGGTTGCAATGGAAATGTGAAATGTGCTAGTCAAGCTGTCAAAGAGCACCAGGCATTGCATGTAAAAATGTGGAGGGAAGCAAAGGAGGGGAAATGTGTGCAAATAGCCGGTAATAGGGTTAATAACAGAGGTCTAAAACGCCATTCATCAAGAAGCTGCTGCAATACTATATTTTATGGCTGGGCAATATATTTTGCAGTAGAAACGAGATCAATAGAAAATACATCTGTTCATTTCAGTGAACTCCAATCTGGACCTGCCAGTAATCTGGCGGATGTTGGCAGAGGAAAGGCTTTAGCTGCTCAGCCTCTCACAGCCCAGCTAGGCGAAGTGGATGGCATCAGCTGTCTCACTCATTGTTTATCTAGCAACAACTTGTTGAGTAACTCGCTCTGCAGCAGATTCAGGTTTCGCCACCATTGCTCTCAACTGCTTACAAGTAGTTTTATAAAACGGTGTGGAGTGAAAGGGAGAAATGAATGCAGCAGCTCGAGAGGAAATTAAAGCAGGAAAGGTGATGTCTTCAGTTTGGCAGTATTTCAGATATTTAAAAGAAAAAACAAATCAATAATTATCCAAATCAACTTTTATGATGATGTGTTTTTCAGCCTTATCGCCCGACACTACGATATTTAAATCTGCTTTAGCTCAGTTAAAATCAAATACTTTGGACTGCAGATGTGATACTTGTGGCACTGTGGTGGGATGGCTAAGAAAGCAAGGGGTGGGAACAATTATTAGAACTGAAGGCACAGTGGAGTCACACTTCAATCATACACAATGTCGTTTTTTTTTTTTGTTGTTGTTTTTGCCGCAATCCAGCGAATTGTGGATGTCAGTGGAGGCAGCATACTGGTCTTAATCGGCTGTGAAAGAGGCTTTAGTGTCTTGTAGCTGGAATCACTTCAAAACCTTGGAAAGTACTTCTGACCACAGCAGATGGGATTTGTTGTTTTTATTTTACTCGACTGTTCCACACAGTTGACTTCCTATAATGTGTGACTGTACAGTCGGTTACACGTCATCATTACTTCCTCATGTTCGTTCCCCTTTTTGAGGCCGGCAGTGTTCAGCCTTAGACGAAATGGTAAGATTTCAGTGAGCAAAAAGTACGACAAGCAAGTAAAACTGAGAAAAAAAACTGCTGGAAAGTCCAACTTCTTTCACTCTTGTCGCTCTGCCTGCAGTCCATCTGCCAGTATGAGCTGATTGTTGAAATCCTGATCGTAAACATCACAATCTATTCCTTCAGTGAATTTATGCTGGCTATTCCTATTCCTATTTATTCCTGCTGGCTGTGAGTAAGACCAGCTTTGGACTTTAAGTGCAGGTGAAATGCAAATGTGTATCACGGTAGGTGTATTTGGACAAATGTGACCCAGTTGATGGCACTCTAACACCAACTGTTTGGGTCGGAGAGATTTACTGATTTTCACAGATTTCTTCTCACGTCTGCCCATGAGGACAGAAAACATTTTTGCTTTACCCAACCCACAAAACGATTTGCAAGATTGGGATTAGTTTTAAAACACTCAACAGCCAGGGGTACGGGGGGGGAGGGGGAGGGAGTTCAAATGCTAACACATGTCCAAACATCTATTCAAAAGTTTTCCACATTAGGGTTTAGATTTCTTAAAAAAAATGTGGTTAAAGCACCATTAGCAGTAAAGACAGACTCTAAAATCCTTCAAATATTTCCATTTCAACCAGCTTGACACTTCATTTCTTTGAGGTTCATCACATCTTTCCAGTGCAGTCAAACTGAGGAGGGAGTGTTTGTGCAGAACTATTTACAGATGTCACCAGAGATCTTTTAAAGGGCATATTTGTGGGCCTCTTTAAGATTTAAGTAATTAAACAAATCACTTAATAATAAAGCTAATACATAGTAGAAAAAGTACCTCTGACTTAGCTCAAGAGGTTTTTGTTGTTCTTGACTTGCGTCACCAAGCTCGCTATTAGTACAGTCCAAGGTTCCTTACTGATAGCAAAGTTAATTTTAGAAGTACAGTAAATATGTGGACTTTGAAAAATCATTAACTTTTCTGTGTTGAGAAATGCGGTTAAAAAAGAAAAGAAAAGAAAGGAAAACAATCTTTCACAACAACATGTTGAAAATGTCTTACTTTAATCCAGTAGACTGTTTTTTGTTGAGGCTTTGTTGTTGTTTTTTTATGGTAATTTTATATATTGGGTCTTTGCTTCACAAAATATTACCAAAATATTCAAAGAAGTCTAAAACACCAACCTCCTTCTTTAAAGAAATGTATATATAAGAACACCAATGCCAACAACAACAAAAAAAAAGCTTGACTGCATGGATTGCTTGTTGAAGCAGACGGCTGTATAAGCATTTTCTCTGCCCTGCGTTTGCCCTCACAGGAAGAACTCCGACGAGGTCGCCCTGATGTCGGCTCGCGAAGCAAGTGCCAGATGTCCCCAGGTGGTCATTGACTTCTACGAGCAGAAGCTGACCTGGCACTGTGGAGAGGGCGAGCAGTAAATATATATATATATATATATATATATATATATATAAAATAAAATGTGTGCCGAGGACTGTGGATAAGCAGCTGCACTTCCACCTAAAGATTAGTTTCTCCTCCATCGAGTGTCCTCCATCAGCTGACATTAAAGGCACGCGGCATGAAATCACGTCCCGCTGCAGGTGGAGCTTCCTACACTGGCAGCTGCGAGATTCTCAGCGGGGGATGAGGGTTTAAAGCACTGCCAGCTCTGCGGTGCTCAGTGAGGTTACTTTACCTCTGAGGACACCAAAATGGAGACTAAAGCTAACTTTAGTTCAGAACAGCTGATTTTTATTTTAATTTCGACTAAACTATTGCTGCATTCCTTTTCTGTGATTATGTAGCAGACTCGGTCACTGTGGTTGTGCTTTGTTTTTAGATACCGTTTGTTTTTGTTTTTTCTGTATTAAAGCATTAGGTACCTTGAAGTTTAATGTTAGCAGAGTGAGCTAACTGCAGGTCAGTGCACATTTCCACATGTGTAGAGATAAAGACTAACCTTGGTGGTGTTTTTTTTTTTCTGTTTTTCTTTTTTTTTTTTTATACTTGTGGTGTGAATTAACAAAAAAAGTCATTTTGTCTGTGTGACTCTTTCAAGTTTATTTTAAAATGCTAAAACAAATGTTGGATATTTTCCGATTCAGCGATCTGCAGCCTGTGTGTTACAGGCTACGTTCTCTGGATTTGGTTAAAATTTTACGACGTTTAGGTGTGGTAGCATTCTTTTTGCCAGCTGATCGGAAGTGCGCAGCAACATGTGGGAGAAGGGGCAGCAGTGAAGAAACTACTGCATTTAACAACTACACTCATTTGGTTCTTTCATCTAAAGTGACGTCCTGGTAGAAGTAAGTTTCTGAATACGTTGAGTTTGATTCCTTCTAGTATTTACCCTGTGAACACTTGTTACTAAATGTAGCACTTTAGTTAAGAGACTGAGTCACTGCTGGAATGACTCGGCTGTTTGTAGTAGATAACTGTTCTGATGGCACTGATGTGACTTTACATATCTCCCATGACTGTTATGGGACACCCAGCTGAACCTTAAACACACCTTCTGCTGTAACTGTTGACCTTAATCTGTGAAGTCTGCAAATAAACTAAACCTTTTATAACTCTGTCACTTATTGAAACGCCTTTAATCGCAACAGCGTCAGGTTTACTGCTCGGTTGATGTGGAGCCTTTGTTCAAACACTCTACTAATCTGGGCCTCTATGCAGGTTTTCTCGAGCTATGTTGGGGACCCAAACGCGAGGATTTGAGACCAAAATCGATCTTTTTGGCCTACATGTACAATGCTTTGTACTAACACATGACTGAGCACACCATCCACAAAGTGAAACATAGGAGGAGCAGAATCCTGCATGTCAGCAGATGGAGCTGGTCAGTAAAGCAGAGGGCTGACCTGGAAGGAAACCTGTTAGAAACTAAGGGTTGAATCGCCTCTTACTTGGATCAAGATCATATTTATGTGTTGGAATGGTGCAGCCAAGGTTTCTATTGCTACAATAAAGCACTTCTTATTGTTATTCTGATACATAAAATCCCATTAAAATACACTAAATTTTGTGGTTGTTGCGTGATAAAATGTGGAAAGGTCAAACGACCGCTTTTGGAAATCCCCAAAAGAGGCTGTAGATACGGGACTGTTTTACAGATTTTACTTGACAGTTCGGGGAAAGGCTTCTGTTTGTCTCGTGACTATATTTGGAAACCTTTGCTCCTCGGCAGTAAAAGTGGAAATAAAGGCACAAGCACAATGCTGTGCACGGCACTATCAAGTCAGGGATAAGCTTACTGACTTTGAGCTCTGTCTGTGTTTCGGATTATGAGAAGAAACTGAAAGTACTGGGAATCTGGTTGATTTTCTTTGAAACGTGATTTGATTAAAAAAAAAAAAGCTACACACTCGATCCAGGGCCAATGAGCAGACAGAAAAGGCAAAACAGGACTTGGAATACATGGGAATTTCCTCTCCTCCTCTTTTTTTGTTGGGCTTGTCATTACACTTCCTCTGTCTACTCATAAAACCCTTCCTCTTTGTTTCACAACACGGTTCACTCAGTTCAGCTCAGGATCTCTCCTGCCGTCTCCATGCAGCAGGTTATCAGTGTCTGGGTGCGAGACCCGCGGATACAAAAGAATGACTTCTGGCATGCCTACATGGACTATGAGATTTGTTTACACGTAAGTACAAGCGGAGAGAAGATGGCTTCACTAATGATGTGTCCTTGTTCTAACTGTGCTTCTGCTGTGTCCTGTTTTCAGACCAACAGTGTGTTCTTCAACAAGAAGACTTCAAGAGTGAGGAGGAGATTCAGTGAGTTTGTGTGGCTCAGACAGAAACTCCAGGAAAATTCTCTCCTACTGTGAGCAAATATGTCATTTGATAAATCTCAGGAAGACAAAGGTTTCTATTAAACTTGACGTCCTAAATGGTTCTCCTTTCTCCTGCGTGTTTTTGTAGCTTAAAGCTACCAGAGCTTCCACCCAAAAACCCCTTCTTCAGTCTGAACAACGCCCAGCAGGTTGCGGATCGGATGAAAGGACTCCAGAAGTTTTTGGAAAAGTAAGAACGACCTCACACAGCAGTGCATTTATAACTTGGAGACATCGCTTCGCTCAACCCAACTGGTGCGCACTGGTTTTCACCAGCCTCCAGACCACAGGACGTTTTCACATCCCCAGGCGGCACGCTACGCCACACACGGCAGATCCTTATTTGTTTATTTCCCTCATTTCTCAGAATCCTCCAGAGCAATCTGGTGTTATCCGACAGCTGCCTGCACCTTTTCCTTCAGTCCCAGCTGAGCATTTCCAAAATGGAGGCTTGCGTTGCCGGAAAGACCACCTTCACCGTGGCCCAGGCTGTGCAGAACTGCGGCCTGAGGAGATTTCACTCAGAAGAGGACCTGCAGAAGGACCTCGGCGTGTCCTGTGACTCTGACTCAGATAGGTAACGTAACATTGAATTTTCCGCTGTCTCGTCAGGAAAGTCCAGACGGAAACACTGCTCTTACAAGAACCAGCGACACATCAGCACAAACTTGTTTGGCAACAACGGATGCCAAACAAGCTAGGGCACAGCACCTGAGTAACCTGTGATAAACGTTGCTGTTTGTTGTGTTTTTGCAGCTCAGAGAGCAGAGATCCAAGGCACAAGACAAAGGAGTTGACATTAAACAAGTCGAGGAGTGCAGCCATCCTTGATCGGAGGGGAACCTGCCCAGAGGAGATGCTCAGCTGCTCGAATGGTTCTGTATGAAAACTGGAAACGACTGAATGAAAGTGAAAACTCGAGTCTGTTTACTTGATTCATGTCCGTCTTTCTGGATGTGTAATGACCTACGGAAAGCAACTTGTTTCCTTTCCCTGCAACCATTTTCACTTTTGTGTAATTTACATTGTCCTAATTGAAAAGCTGGTTTCACAAAATCAGTAGTTATTTTAATTTCAGCCTCCATTTATGTGCTTGAAAAAGTATTCACACCACTACAACTTTTTTTTTTTTTTTTTTTTTTCACAGAGTCTTAAAGTATGACGTCAGACGTAACCATTGTTATGATGCAGACCAACAAAAACTCACACTGGTTCTTAACATTTTTTGCAAATAGAAATGTGAGGTGAGAGAAGTGTGCGCTTGTATTCAGCCATGTTTCCCCTGATACCCCTAGATTATTGTTCACAGCAGGATGAGGTCATAAAACCACATACAAAACAAAATGCATGGTGGGAAAAGAAAGAGCAAACAAACACTGGATATAACAAAAAACACAACATCCCCATCGTGAAACATGGTCAGAGTTGAATGGAGAGATGAATGGCACTAAATTCACAGCAATACTGGATGAAAAACTGTTAGAGGCTTACCCACAGCATGTTCATGTGGCAAAATGGCCCTGTCAAAGTACTAACCTAAAAAATAATTGAGAATCTGCTGCAGAATTTGAAAAACAATGTCCGTAAATACTCTCCATCCAACTTGACTTTACTTAGCTGTTTTGGGAAGAAAAATGGGTAAAAGTATCAACTTGTTCATGTGCAAAGCTCACTTTTCAGATTCCTATTTATGAAACAAATTATTTTACTGCTATGTGTCAACTAGATTACTTAACTTTGTGGCCGAAAGTGACAAAAATGTGTGGAAAAAGTTTATTCGGGGGCATGAATGTTTTTGTAAAATTGTCCATAACATTTTGTTGCATTATGATGATATGCTGTGTGCATGGTAGAAACATGTGTAATAATGTTGTGCCTGCGGGTGGCAGTGTTGTCACAGTTCGTACATTTATCTCTCTCGGAAACGTGTTTTAACTGTGCCTTGTAGCTTTATAAATTAACTTTGACAGAAGCACGACGGAGTTTGCTCATTCGTACCATGAAAACGTCCCAATAGCAGGATAATATGTCAAGCAGTCATAGCCTGATGTCACTGTACGGGTCTCGAGTGTGGGAAGCTTGTCATCTGGTGGCCGCTGCAGTGCTTAGCAGGATGACATGTTTAATAAGGTCTCAGCAGAGTTTCAGCACACACACACCCCCACTTGTCAGGTGTGTGCCGGCCAGGAGGTCCTCTGGACTCCCACTGGACTCACTCCTGTCTGAGAAGGCCACCAGTAAGACAGGAAACATGGCTCTCTGCTGAGCAAATGCCAGCTGTGCTGACAGGCCGCTCCTTTAATCTGTCTGTGTTAGTTTGAGGCCGTTCCTTGCAGCTGCTTCTGCTACTGTGAGTTTCCTTGTATGTGATGCACTGTAAGGACTATTTTCCTAACATATGTACTGTGTGGCTCAAAGCTTGATTCCCATTAGAAGAAGTATTGTTTTGGGGCTTTTAGGTTAGGTTTAGTATTAGGTATGTTCTGGTAATGGTTAGGTTAGAGTCAGAGTCAGGGTTAGGCCATAGATTAGCTGCTTCTCTGTGCAGCAGCTGAGTTCATTATAAATTCAGAACTGACTTATATTAGGAAGAAGAGGTGCAGGTGGCCTTTCTTTTCTAAAGATATCTCTTCATATATGTGCGCATATGTTACTATACAGTACACATTGTTAAAAAAAAAAAAATCAGACCAATGTTTGAGTGTGTGCTGAAGACAGTTCTTTTATCTGATTATATATAAAGAGGTTAGCTGTTGAGCTTATTGTTTCTAAAACTAAAATATAAATAGTTTCATATAGAAACTAAACTATTAGACCTTCTACTGGGAATCTTAACAAAAAGGTTAAGTGAAACACTGATTCGTTATTCCAATTCCATCATTCTCCAATTTAGCAGAAGTGAAACAAACAACTGTACTCTACATGTTCTTTTCAAGATGCTGCAATAAGTGAAGTTTTTTTTCCCCCCGTTTAAATTTGAACATCCATCACTGGTGTTTTTTAGCCAACCCTTGTTTTAAGATCCAGCGTATTTTAACATACAACACTGTACACGCATCTTGAAAGGTCCCATCCGTCACTTCTCTCCACGTTCCCAATCCGAGCAGAGCCGTCGGAGTCTTTCTCCCAGACACAAACACCTCAGGTAAATTCAAAGATTCAAGGATTCAAGGAATTCAGGTAAATGTTTATTGGCCAATTCGCCTAGCTGCCATGTTTCTGGGTTCAGAGAGGAAGTCATGTATCTGGAAAAAACACACAAATGCAATATTACACCATGCGATCTGAGAGGGACCAGCCAGGATTTCAACCCTTGTAACCGCTGCGCCCTACTGACCCTCATATCTGCATACTCTTCTCCTCGGAGATAGATTTTAAATGGATGTGGAAATATATTTGTCCCTGCCCCCCCTCATCTCCTTGTGAAATAAAGAATTAACTAAGATCAAAAATATTTTAAAATTTAGCTGCCAGTTTCTCTACAGACGCTTGTATTGAAATGTTTAAGCATTTCAGGATTGAAACTGTTGGGTTTCGTTCAGCCTGAAGGGGAATATTGAATCTAATTTTAATGATCTGTGACTCTGGTGTGCCGGCCATTAACTTCAGGCTACCGTAATATGTCAGCAAAGCTCTTCTGCAGTAAAACCAGTAACTACTAAAAACAGTTTGGTCCGCTGCTGTACAAACAGCGACGCAATGCACTTTGTGTGAACCTCTGAAGAGGTTCAAGAGATTTGAAAACATAGTGATTCAGTAAAATTGTCAGAAAATGTGTTCTGTAAAAGCAACAAATGCTTTGTTTTTATTTTAGTGCAAAATTAATGACTATAACTTAACAGTAAATAGAGAAAGACTGGACAGAGCGGCGAGCCTTCTCTGAGAGACGTCTCTGCCTCACACCACAACATCATGTGTGTTTCTGCATCTAACTAATCTCATCTCAAATCTGCGTCGTCCTCCCTCGCTGTATTATCTTTCTACAGACAACAAATAAAAGTCCATCTTTATGTTGGAGAGAGTCAGAGATGTAACAACATAAAATCCCAATAAAGTTTTCTGTAGGGAGCTGAAAAACCAACGGGTGTACTGAGGCAGATATGCTCCAGTGGAGGCAAATTACAGATAAATCAGCGGCTGCTCATGCATTTTAAGTGCTGCATTATACAGAATCCATTAGTAGCAATAGCAGCTCAGCACAATTTAAGATATTAAATCTCTTTGACTGCAATTCTGCGGAACCCAGATGAGTCGATACTAGACAAAACTGAGCTGCACCGGCAACAGAGAGGCAATGGGACCTAAAGAGATAATTTAACAACAATCTACCAGGAGTATTTGTATGATAATGGGACAGTGAGACATATTATAAGGCACTGCAACCACTGAAAAAAAAAGCACAGAAATACACAAGATATTTCATTTCATACCAATATGAAATCTCCAGTTTGTAACTCTGTCAGTAAAATGTATGCTTAAGAGCCAGTGCTACCTTAATACAGAAAATAAAATACATTTTAAAAAGATTAAAAAAAGCTTATTTTACAACTATTTTTTTTCCTTTGTCTCTGAGATGGCGCAGATGGAAATGAGTTGACATAAAATGACATCAGTCATTCATCAAACCTAGCAGCCATACTGGTTCCCTCAGTTTTGCACAGCAATAGCTGCCCGTCTCCCTCCCTGCTCCATCATCTTCTGCGCGCTGCGGCTGTAGCAATCATTTGGAAGGAGTGTGATCACTAAACCAAGGAGAGCAGCAGCTTCTCATCTCCTTCAGATGGAGCAGATCAGCATTAAAGGAGCATCTCTGAGCCTGAGGGAAAAGACTGAGATTACAGTTTGTAATTTACTGATACAATATAGTATGGAAAGACATTTCCTTTGAAATTGGTACTTTAAAGTAGATAGATGAGGCGGCTGGGTCATGTGTTGAGAAAAGAAACATGTCTGTGTTATACTGCATCTTCATCTATTCTGTGCTAAAACATGTTTTCATATAAGTTGCCTTGCAGGATTGTTTCGCACTCTGCAAACTTTGTCACATTTCGTCACAGTATTACCACTTGAGATAGAACGACACACGGAGTCTTGCAGTTGTTAAGTGAATGAAAAATGGCATGTTTTGGGATTTTATTTTGCAAATAAAATCTTAAACATGCTGCATTCATTCCATCTAAGTCAACACTTTGTCTAACTTCCTTCTTGCTGCACATCTTTGCATCAGCTTTTCACATCCGAAGATGGATTTTTATTTTTTTTTGTTTTCCAATTGTTCTTTGCAGTTTAGCTGGAATCTATAAGTAATCACGTGATCTCTAATGGTAATTGATTGAAGTCGGTCTGATTTTGGAGCATAAGAGTAAGACATTAAAGTAATTATCCACATTTCACAACACCCACACTGATTTGATTTCATCATATATGCAGCAAATCAAAAAACAAACCAAATAAAACTGACACACACACACATATACATATATACTCCCTCCTCATCAGTGCATGAATTTGTGTCTTGGCTCTGGGGAACGTCACCCTCTGCACGTCACAGGATCAGGTCCCTCTGGACTCCTGTCTTGTTAGAGATGAACAATGCGTAGAAGGGGAGCCCTCTGGTCAGACAGGGAATGGAGACAGTGCCAGCGATGGCACTGTGAGGACGACAGAGGAGCTGAAGGAACAAAGGAGTGAAGTGGAGGTGTTGAGGGCACCATCTCCGGGGGCTCCCAAGCTTTGCTGCCAGCATGTGTAAATCAGCAAGCAGCTCACGGCTGCAATGAGGTAGAAAATAAAAAAAGCATAAAAATGTCTGCGTGAAATAGGAGGCGAGGAGGATTTTTTTTCTTTTCTTTTTTTATGATGAGCCTAAATTCTCCCCTCTCTGCTGTAGATCCAGTGACCGGCTCGGATTGTTTTTCACAGACAGTCCATCATCTCGGCGTCTGCATATTGACACAAATGATTCTCACATGTCTAATGTACAGACCAAATATTATCATTTTGAGTCACGACATGGATATGGGACTCTTCGGACATGCGTATGTATATTTAAGCAACTCTATTTAATTTACATGTGATCAAAACACATGAATGTACAGATTTCTGTCCCTTAATAAAAATAAAAAAAACATTTGTGCAGCCTAATGTTTTCAGGAAGAGAAAAAAATCCTTACTTCAAATTTGAGTTGTCATCAATATTGTAAAGCAGAAAAAGCCAAATGCTAGAGAGATGTATATGTTTGTGTTGATTTTCTACTTTGACAATGTTGCTCTATGTGTTCAAGAAAAGCAATAAATCCAAAAAGACTTGAAGATGCTTTTTGTTATATTTTAGATTAAAGTTGTTTGACACCAAAAGAGGTAGCTTGAAGTTAGTGCCTCTACCCGAAGAAGCAGCTACTTGCAGAAAAGCATCAAGGTAAATTAATATTTTGCATGCATTATCCACTGACTTGCTTCAAATACATGTGAAAGCAAACTCACCATCCTAGAGGTGGTTCATGCAGGAATCGGCTCTTCTACTAGCACCCCCACAACCAATTAGCATGCAGCAACATGCAGATTCTGTTGTTGGATAAAATGCACAGAGGCAGAACAAAAAGCTTGTGACCCAGCCTCCCTACAATCAGTAACAAGCAGATGGCTCCTAATCAATACTTGACCGTGCCAACTCCATTTTAATACACGCATAAAATGCAACAAAACATGTTCAGGATGCAACTGAAAGATATTTATATGATACTTGAGCACTTGAGTATGCTGCCCTGGGAAAATGCCTACTTTCCAAAATCTAAATCCATCACTGCACCAACAAGTCCAACATATGTGAGCAGCTTACACCTGCTATTGGGGTAGGTCTCAGTTGTCCTCAGCCACAAAACCTCCAGATCCTGACAAGATCAAGGAACTCCTAAAAAACTGGGGCAACAACATCTCTGTCAGAGGAGAACCACATTCAGTTTGGTTCTCAAATAC